CAGTGGTCTTTCCTTCATCTTTTCTCCATGTCTCTGGGAGCACAACCCCCTCTCTCTCTTTTTTTTTTTTTTTTGACAGGAAGAGTGGACAGTAAGGGAGAGAGAGAGACAGAGAGAGAGGTCTTCCTTTGCCATTGGTTCACCCTCCAATGGCCGCCGCAGCCGGTGCATCATGCTGATCTGAAGCCAGGAGCCAGGTGCTTCTCCTGGTCTCCCATGCGGGTGCAGGTCCCAAGGACTTGGGCCATCCTCCACTGCACTCCCTGGCCACAGCAGAGAGCTGGCCTGGAAGAGGGGCAACCAGGACAGAATCCGGCACCCCGATCAGGACTAGAACCCAGTGTGCCAGTGCCACAGGCAGAGGATTAGCCTATTGAGCCATGGCGCTGGACACAACCCCCTCTCTTAAGAAACCAATGTTATATGTTCACTCTGAAACTAATGTAAATCTTTACTGCTTTGATCTCTCACACTTTTGGGGTTCATATTTTACCACAGCACAACCTGAGTTACCTAGGAAATACAATCAATTTCCAGCCCAAAATCCTCCAAAGCTACTGTGTTCTATGTTTGGCAGTGATATGTGTGAAAGAATCTGGGATGGGTGTACTCATTAGCAAAGCCCTTGGATCGCTTGAGTATTTTATCATCATTCAGTATTATTAAAGAACATAATTACCTATTTTAAAAAAATATTTCTTTTTTAAAAATTAATATAAAATAAATGAATTATGAAATGGATATTTAAGAAAATATTTATTAAAAAGCAAACCATTAAGAAATGTCATCATGAAGTCATATCATGTGAAATACTACTATACTGGCTTTACCTTATAAGTTATATTTGCCTAGAATTTCAACACTGAACATATTTATATCTAAGTATTTTGTATATTTGAATAGTAGATGATTCATTGCAGATGGAAGGCTCCAAATAGTGGAATAGGGAAGGAGCTCACAGTTTGGGAAAAGATAGTTTAATCAAAGTGGAGATACTGTAGTCTCAGGGAAGAGTTAGGGAAAAAAACTGAGAGGAAACTCTTCTGGAATTAGTGGGACCCGGTGGACCTACATGGAGGGCACAGGTGCCCAGGGCTTGGGACACCAGCTACAGAGTCTATTCACCAGTGCTGGAAAGGGAGGTGAGGTGAAACCACAGTAGCCTGAGACACTGGTGGAAAAGTGGCAGGGAGAGCCTAGAGGGACTGAGGCTTGAAGCCCCATGGAAGAACGTGCACTGCCTAACTAGAGGAGAGAAAAAAAAATAAAAGGGACTGGTATAGACACTATTCTTTCTCTCCACTCACCTTACAGAGGCATGTGAGAGAATAGAGCAGGTGCCATTTTAGACATATGTAACAGCTGTGCCAGCTCAGGGCCACGCGCCTCTCAGCCAAATAGAAAAACTTGACTCTGGTTGGGAGTAATAACAGGAGACTAAGACCTAGTGACTGTATGGAGCTTATTAACTGCAACTGTGAAAGAAATAAACTGAGTGTTTGTGGGAGAAATCATGGTGTGGCTGAGACTTGAGTAGTCTCATTGGGAGATGCCACAAACTTGGGCAGCTTTGGCTATGTGGTGAGAGACATTGTAGGAGAATTTGAGCTTACACTGAGGACTGCACAGATCCTGTGTGTGGTCCTTGGGAGAGAGCAGACAAATATTATACCCACTGGGGCTAGCGCCCAGGCACTGATTGCCATCAAGGAGAAGAACTCAGCTGAGTGGAATTATTTCCTTTTTGAATAAAAAAAAGGGAGAGAAGATTTACCATGCCAAACCTGGGTGTGTCACTTTTGGCACACCCTTAACCCTGCGGAACTGAACAGAGCTCTCTGGCCACACCCAACACAAGCCTCTAGAGACTCACCAAAAACAGACAGTACACTTAATCGAGTCATTGTATGACCACAAAAGCCACAAGAGTGAGGAAAAAAAGAAGAAACCAAAGATATCTCCACAATGCCAAAAAACAAATTCTGAAATCAAGGAAACAAGAACAAGGAAAACATCATGACATTCCTAAATGAACAAGATTATGAAGACGATGAGATAGAAGAAATGCAAGATATGAATTTTAAAAAATTTATAATAGAACATCTTGAAGTTATCAAAAACAAATGCATGAACTACAGAAGTCCATACTGTAAGTACAGTATTTCACTAAAATGGCCTTCTAATAGTTTCTCTCTCCATGCTTCAGGAACTCCTAGAATCCGAATGTTGGGTTTTTTAATAGTATCCTGTAGATTCCCAACAATATTTTTTAGATTTCTAATTTCCTCTTCTTGTCTTTGGTTTGGCTGTATACTTTCCTGTGCTCTGTCTTCTAAGTCTGATATTCTCTCTTCTATCTCACTGATTCTGTTTTTAATGCTCTCCAATGTGTTTGTCATTTGTTCTATTGAATTCTTCATTTCATTTTGATGTCTCTTCAATATCTCAATTTCATGTTCTATTAAATTCCTCATTTCATTTTGATTCCTCCTTAAGATTTCATTTTCAGGAGAGAGATTTTCTGTACTTCCAGTATGGATTTCTGTAGTTCATGTATTTGTTTTTGATAACTTCTAGATGTTCTTATCATAAATTTTTTGAAATTCATATTTTGCATTTCTTCTATCTCATCGTCTTCATAATCTTGTATTGGAGTTTCATGTCCATTTGGGAGCATCATAATGTCTTCCTTGTTCTTGTTTCCTCTGTTTCTGCATTTGTTTTTTGGCATTGTATAAAGATTCTTTGGTTTCTTCTTCTTTTTTTCCCTTGCTGTGGTTGCTTCTCTGGTTACACTATGACTCTAGATTAAGTGGACTGTCTGCTTTTGGTGAATCTCTAGAGGCTTGTGGTAGGTGTGGCCAGAGAGCTCTGTTCAGTTCTTCAGAGTTAAAGGTGTGCCAAATGTGACACACCCATGTTTCGCATGGTAAATCTTCTCTCTCTCTCTCTTTTTATTTTCAGAAGGGAAATAATTCTGCTCAGCTTAGCTCTTCTCCTTGATGACAATCAATACTTGAGTGCTAGCTCCAGCAGGTATAATATTCATCTGCTCTGTCCCAAAAACCTCACAAAGGATCTGTGCAGTCCTCAGTGTAATCAGATTCCCCTGCAATGTCTCCCACAGGGTTGTCGAGGTTACTGAGTTTTTGGCTTCTCCCACTGAGAGTACTCACATCTCAGGCACACTGTGAATTCTCCCACACACCCTCAGTTTTTTTTTTTTTTTCACAGTCCCAGTTCATAAGCTCCACATAGTCACTGGATCTTAGTCTCCTGTCATTTCTCCCCACCAGAGTCAGGTTTTTCTGCTTGGCTGAGGGTGGACACAGCCCTGAGCTGGCACAGCTTTTATGTATGTCCAAAATGGTGCCAGCTGTATTTTTAACCTGCCTTTGTAAGGTGAGTGGAGAGAATCGTGTCTGTACTTGCCCCTTTTATTTATTTATTTTCTCTCCTCTAGTTAGGCTGGTGAACTTTCTCCCATGGGGCTTCAAGCCTCCTCCCCTCTAGGCACTTCCTGCTGCTTTTCTGCCAGTGTCTCAGGCTACTGTGGTTTTGCCTCACCTCCCTTTCCAGTGCTGGTGCATAGATGAGGTGGCTGGGGTCCCAAGCCCTGGGTGCCTGTGCCCTCCATGTAGGTCCACCGTGTCCCACTAGTTCTGGAAGAGTTTTCTCTGTTTTTTCCCTAACTCTTCCCTGAGACTATAGTATCTCCACTTTTATTAAACTATCTTTTCCCAGACTATCAGTGTGCTTCCTCCCTATTCCACCATCTTAGAGTTCTCCGATAAGCTTTCCTCTTAATACTCCTTTTGCTGTATCCCATAAATTTTGATAGGTTGTATTGTCATTTTCATTTGTTTTTAGAGATTTTTTGATTTCTTCTACGGCACACTGTTCATTCAGAATCATGTTGTTCATTCTCCATGTTTGCATATGATACAGAGGTTCTTGAGTTGTTGATTTTGAGCTTCTTGCATTGTGGTCTGAGAAGATGCATGGTATAATTTCATTTTTTTGAATTTGCTGAGGCTACCTTTATGACTTAGCAGATGGTCTATCATAGAGAGAGTTCTGTGCACCAGGCAGAAATATGCACACTCTGTATCTGTGGGGTAGAAGGCTCTGTAGATATCTACTAGGTCTATTTGGTGTATAGTGTCAATTATCTCTGTTGTTTTCTTGTTGGTTTTCTGTTTGCTTGATCTGTCCGTTGCTGAAAGTGGGGTATTGAAGTCCCCTGTTATTATTGTATTTGAGTCTATATCTCCCTTTAAATCCCTTAATAATTCTTTCAAATAGCCAGGCACCCTGCTCAGAGTGTGCATCTAACTCAATAAATGGAGGAGAGGTTCGCAACCAGATGCCACATAGAGCCAGTTGGATCAAGGAGCAGATGGGAATGATGAAGTTAAAAGCTGATACCAGCAATCACCTCATTATTCTTCCAGGTTTTCAGAAGACCAGAATCACAGAGATGGTGTTGGCCAGCATGGTGGAAATGGTCACTGTTTTGAGAAGCACAGAGCCATGCAGGCCAGAGACATCCCCAGGTATTCCTCAAAGGCTAAGAAGATCACCAGCTTGGGGAGGCAGTGACTTCTCTCCTGGTTTGAGTACTCCTGATCTGCACATGGATGCACTGTTCTGCATCTGTAGGGGCAAAAGACTCCATGTTTCCTTGTTTGAAATTCTTCGTATTTCCCTGTTGAGCAAAATTGTGGCCATCTGGGGTGTGAAACAACAGATGGATTCTTTCTCCTCCTCTCTCTGTCTCTCCATCTCTCTCTGTAACTCTGCCTTTTGAATAAATAAATCTTAAAATTTAGAGGGAAACACAAGAGACTCAAATAGCTAAAGAAATACTGAACAATAGAAATTAAGCTGAAGGCCCCACAATACCACATTTCAAGATATACTACAGAGAGGTGGCTGCGGTGGCGGCGGCGGTGGTGGCGGTGGTGGTGGTAGTGGCGGCGACGGCGGCAGCGGCAGCAGCAGCGGTGGTGGCTGCTCGGCCAGGACTCCCGGCCCCCGCCATTTCAGACTGGGAGCGATTGCGCCGCGGGCCCTGAGGGCTGCGGCGGGGGCCTGAGGCTTGCCGGCTCCCAGGTGCAGGGGAGAGGCCTGCTGAAAATGACCGAATATAAACTTGTGGTAGTTGGAGCTGGTGGTGTAGGCAAGAGTGCCTTGACGATACAGCTAATTCAGAATCACTTTGTGGATGAATATGACCCTACAATAGAGGATTCCTACAGGAAACAAGTAGTAATTTATGGAGAAACCTGTCTCTTGGATATTCTCGACACAGCAGGTCAAGAGGAGTACAGTGCAATGAGGGACCAGTACATGAGAACTGGGGAGGGCTTTCTTTGTGTATTTGCCATAAATAATACTAAATCATTTGAAGATATTCACCATTATAGAGAACAAATTAAAAGAGTTAAAGACTCTGAAGATGTACCCATGGTCCTAGTAGGAAATAAATGTGATTTGCCTTCTAGAACAGTAGACACAAAACAAGCTCAGGACTTAGCAAGAAGTTACGGAATTCCTTTTATTGAAACATCCGCAAAGACAAGACAGGGTGTTGACGATGCCGTCTATACATTAGTTCGAGAAATTCGAAAACATAAAGAAAAGATGAGCAAAGATGGTAAAAAGAATAAAAAGAAGTCAAAGACAAAGTGTATAATTATGTAAATACAATTTGTACTTTTTTCTTAAGGCATACTTAAGTAAAAGTGGTAATTTTTGTACATTACACTAAATTATTAGCATTTGTTTTAGCATTACTTAATTTTTTTTCAGCTCCATGCAAACTGTTAGCCTTTATCCTAAATGCTTATTTTAAAATGACAGTGGAAACTTTTTTTTTCCTTTTCCCCCTCTACGTGCCAGCATTCCCTGATTTTGGTTTTCCTAGCAAAGCCTGTGAAAAAGAAACTGAACACCTGAGATGGCCGTCCTGGGGTTTTGGTGCATGCAGTCGATTCCTTCCTGTTTTTCTTAATAATTGTGAACGTTGGTGTGAAACAAATTAATGAAGCTTTCAGATCATCCCTATTTTAGGTTTTATTTAGTCACTTAAATGCATTAATTAGTAGCTAACTTCAGTTGAGATTTTTTGATTGGTTATCCTGAAACATTGAGGGAATACGAATGTATGGACTTCCTGTTGATTGATCTTCTAGGCATCATGTCCTCCACTGTGTCATCCTCACAAATAGAAAGTTACACTGTTCCCAAGGTTTTCTCGTATTCCCGCTGCTGGTTATGGTCACTGTCCTCCAAATATTATATTTTTTCTATAAAAAGGAAAAAATGGTAAAAATTTCAGGGCAATGGAAAGACTAAGACTCCTAATATATTGCTTTTCCTATTACGGCAAACCAAGTATGAAGTGGGGATTATAGCAGCCATTTCAGGGCTATATTTATGTGCTACTAAATTTTTATAATTAATGAAACAATTGTGTGAAAAATTCTCATAGGAATTGAACATAGGCTCCCTGTGTCAGATTGCTGTTCCTTAGCATAAATTTACATCTTTTCTTGGACCTCAGTCTTTGAAAATATTATTAATTCCAGTAGTGATGTTGATGATTCTATGAGCCAGATACAGCTTAGTAGTTGTTGAAGAGACCAAGGTTGTAAGGCCAGGCCCTGTAGGAACCTTTGAGGCTTCCCCAAGAGTGTCAGGACACAGACTATCCTGTGTTCATCTAGTGTTGCCAGGCATCGTTGGTCACAGTGGGGACCAGGAGAGTATTTGCACAGCTCAGAAAGATGTGGTGGCCTACAGACAAATCAAGAGCATCACCTTTTTTTTTTTAACTTTTAAAAATTACTTTTAAATATTAACTTGGAAGTTGAAATTTGGGGGTTGGGATATGCCACATTTTTTTTAGGCTATGAGGTGAGAAAGTTTCTAAATCTCTACTTTCATGAATTCTCTTAACATTGGTTAAAGTAACATTTCATAAACAATTTTCGTGATCCAAATTTGAAAATAATGCTTAAGAACAGATAAGTTAACATCAATAAAAAGTTCTTGTGATGCATTTAGAATGAGATGATATGATGAGTTGAAAATAGCACCAGACTAGGAGGAAGGTAACTTAGATGCTAGATACGTTTCTTGTAGCATTCTGGATTTTGAGCAAATCATGTATTGTCCACGTCTTCATGTTGAAAGTTATCATCTCAAAGGCTCTGTGTTAACTCCATAGCCGTTTGGTTTACGTTTAGCTTAATAAGCATACATGTGTTTGTCAAACTCTATACAGTCTAACCTTTTACCTGTGTTACCATCTTCATTGCTAGTCTTGGGCAAAATTGTGCATGGGGTGAAGTTTATATTTGTGAGTAGCCGTTCTGCAGTTTCAGGACTCCCCCCCCACATTAGTGTCTTCTTGCCTGCCTGTGCTTCCATAAGACCCATGCCTTGATGCAGCTTTCTTTTAATCCTGTTCTAATTCCCCTAACCTCAAAATGTGTTGCTGCTATGGATGTCTCTGTGACATTTTCCCAGGAGGTCACATTCAAAATGCCCTACATCTTATTTTCTCAGGGCTCAAAATAATCTGATAGATACTATAATGGAATTTGACCTAAGAGTTGATTTTTGTGTGGTACCTGTAGCAATTTAATCATGACCCTTAAACGTCAGCTCTTTGCAGCCCAGTCTTCTGGTGACTAGGAATTTTCAAACTAGATCTGAATAGATAGTGCTATCCAGTGGAAGGAGAATTTAGTAAACAAAGGGAATGCTGCAGTCTACAAGTAGGACTAGCTCTGCTACCAATGATGCATTCCATTTTATGGTAACTGAAGTCTTCTCACAGTGAAAAATACTTCAAAATTTAATTTAAAGTGCTTTTTGGCAGAACTTGTATATTTTACAAATACTTTGAGTGCCTACCCGATGCCAGCCACTATACGAAAAACTACAGATAAGGTACACCCAAAGGAGGGGCATAATCCCTGGCCTTATGCTGTGCTGCCACAGTCTATAATGCCGCAGCAAGGCATGTGGACGTGACCCAGAGGGAACACAATGTGAATTTTACTTTTGCAAAGAAGGGATTTGGGCTGTGAGGGTTCTTCCAGTTCTAAGATAATTGTTTTGCTATGATTCCATTGTAACTGTTTAATCAAGTTACTTTATGTAAATCACTTAACTTCATTGTTTAATAGAGTAAATTTGATTTTATTGTTTTTTATTTGGCATAACTGTGATTCTGTTGAGACAGTTATAGTATACATTGTTATATGTCAGATACTAATTTAAATTCCAAAGTATGTAATATTCCAGTTTTATCTTTGTAGAAATAATTAAAATAGACTTTTAAAAATTAAACATTGGCTTCCAAAATAGTTTTCATCTGGGTACAAGCAGGTGCCTGAACCAGTTCACAGAAAAGGGAATTTCTGTGTAAAAACGAGTATGATTTGTGAAATGCTATCTATGCTGAACTGCAGATTTTTTTGAGTATTGTCTAGATAGGGTGTTATGACTTAACCAGTACCTCTTCTCATTTTTACACAGAGAGACATGACCACACTTTAGGAACCGCAGTGCATAAGGGAGGGGATATTTGATGTAGCTGGGCAATGTTTTGAAGGTAGTGGTAATGATCCTTTGTGGTGTGAATTTTGAATGGCTTAACAAAAGATTTCTTTAGAGATTTTAAAGGTGGAGAGAATTCTAGAAATAACATAAATGTTACCTAATTGTAATAGCCTTAAACATAAAAATCCTCATTGAAATTGGAAAACAGTGCTAAATTATATAGTCTTAGGCATTAACATGTTTGTGGAAGAACTTAGCTGGCATATGTAGCATAATTTGAGTGGAATAGTCCCAGTTAGGAATTCTAGGCTCTATTTTAACTGAGTCACACTGCATAGGAATTTAGAATATAACTTTTTTGGGTTATCAGACAAAACCTTTGCCATGATTGCACAATTTTGTCCTAATATATTCATCTATAGGAACTTTCTGAAGCATGTTTAAGTTATAGTTTGCACAAGTTCATCTCATTTGTATTCCAGAGCTGTTTTTTTTTCCTGTGCACCATTTTTTTTTTCCAAACAAATACATATACATTTAGGAATTTTTTTGGTCGGCAATACAGACTATCTGAAAACATTTCCATTTGTCAAAAATAGTAATTTCTTGGTCTTTACTTGGTAGTGCTTTTGGAAACCCAGCAGTTAATTTAAAACAATTTATATTTAATAACTTCTTTGTTATTGTTGGGTAGCATGAATTCTGCATTGAGAAATTGAATAACATACAACTAATAGCTGTAAATTCTGTCAGAAAATGAAAATTATTTCTTAGAGATACATTCACATTAGTTTTTTGATGCATAGTCATAACTAGATGAAGATTTGTGTTTTAGGTGACTAGTTTGAAGTGCCTGTTTGGGATGATGAGAGGCAACTTAGATGGACTTAGAAAAGACAAAAGTTATTACCTGCAGAAACATCTGTCATAGAAGGCCCACCACCCCCACTAGCGCTCAGTGAGTTATATGATGCTTATCCAAATTTCCAGTTCCACTGTCTTGTGTTTTCATGTTGAAAATACTTTTGCATTTTTCCTTTGAGTGCCAATTTCTTACTAGTACTATTTCTTAATGTAACATGTTTACCTGGAATGTATTTTAACCATTTTTGTATAGTGTAAACTGAAACATGCACATTTTGTACATTGTGCTTTTTTTGTGGGACATATGCAGTGTGATCCAGTTGTTTTCCATCCTTTGGTTGCGCTGACTTAGGAATGTTGGTCATATCAAACATTAAATTTTAAAGTGACCACTCTTTTAATTAAAATTAACTTTTAAATGTTTATAGGAGTATGTGCTGTGAAGTGATATGAAATTTGTAATATTTTTGTCATGAACTGTACTGCTCCTAATTATTGTAATGTAATAAAAATAGTTATGGTGACTATGAAAAAAAGATATACTACAGAGAAACTAAAATCAAAACAGCCTAATATTGTCATATTAATGTGTATGTAGATCAATGGAACAGAACGGAAACCCCAGAAATTAATCCGTATAGACACAATGAACTAATCTTTGACAAACGAGCTAAAAATCAATCTCTGGAGAAAGGACATTGGTGTTTAGAAAATTCTCTGTCTCTCTCTCTCTCTCTCTCTCTTCCCTTCCTCTCTCCCTCTCTCACTCAATGGGAGTTAGATGTTCTGGAGTTCTATGGCACAGTCAGGTAGCTATAGGTAATGTCAATGCTGTGTACATTTCACTATAAAAAGAAAAACATATCCATTAGCTGCATTTATTTTATTCACTCAACTGCTACAGGAGCAAATATGCTCAATCTAAGAGTATGATGACTTCTACAAACTTTCATTTTCTATAGACATCAACGTAGAATATGTGTAAGAAAGACTACATTATGTATAGTCAAGAAGTGAAATTAAAGTTTAATATTTATTTCAGAGGTTCACAATCTCATCTCAGAAGGATATCAGGTCCATCTGTGTGTAACCCTATTGAAATGGAACCACACCTCCTTGAAGTCAGTAGGCCATTATATCATTTCTTCATTGAGGACCAAGCATTGGTCATGTGCACTCTTCTAGGAAAACTGCAATTTTAACCATCAACCCAAGACCCACAGGAAAATTCACAATGTTATGGATATCATAGTGCACCGTATGGTGTCTTGATTCATGGAAGGATATATCATGTGCAGAACTATTGGTAAACTGTATTTTCTGGGCTGGTGCTGTGGCACAGCAGGTTAACACCTTGGCCTGAAGTATCGGCATTCCATATGGCTGCCAGTTTGAGACCCGGCTGCTCCACTTACTATCCAGCTCTCTGCTTTGGCCTGAGAAAGCAGTGGAAGATGGCCCAATTCCTTGGACACCTGCACCCACACGGGAGACCCAAAAGAAGCTCCTGGATCCTTGATTCAGATTGGAATAGCTCTGGCTGTTGTGGCCAATTGGGGAGTGAATTAACAAATGGAAGACCTCCCCCCGCCGCCTCTCCTCTCTCTGTGAAACTCTGACTTTCAAATAAACAAATAAATCTTTAAAACAACCTGGATGTTCCTCAGGAATTTATGAAGCTGGATGAAAGTTATAATTATTATTTTCTATATCTACATATTTACCTTTTCCTAGATATTAGGTTTATTTAATTTATTCAACAAATTAGGTTAATTTATTTATCCAGGGAACATTCAAACAAGAGCTCATAAACATGTGCACTCTTGGAGGAAAACTCTGCAATTTTAATCATCAACCCAAGACCCACAGGAAAATTCACAATGTTGTGGATATCATAGTGTGTCATATGGTGTCTTGATTCATGGAGATACATCATCCCCAGCACTATTGATAAACTCGATTTTCTTCCAGATTGGATGAAGCTGGAGGAAATGTACAATTATTAACTTCTAAATATACATATTTAGCTTTCCTAGATATTAGGTTTATTTAATTTATTCAACAAATTTGATTAATTCATTTATGCCTGGTGCATTCAAACAAGGGCTAATAAACATATTCTGTATACAGGAATGGATCCAGAGAAGCTAGGATGAAAAATCTATCTGTACCTCAGGAGGCATTTCTTATGCTTAGGTGCATCCTGAGTGGTCAACAAAAAACAAATTTGAGATTTTCAACAGTAGAATTATCCCCAACAAGATGGCAATTACAGGCTTTCCAATAGCCCATGTCAAGGAGCTCATCTTCCATTCTGACAGATCTTACTGATCAAATGAAGAAAACAGCATCATATGTTGACCATAATAAAGCACCTATGTATATCATCAGGTGTTCA